TTTTTAAAAAAAAAAAAAAAAAAAAAAAAAAAAAAAATTATATATATATAGTACAAATTTAGAGTTTGTGAAAAAACTGTTATTTTTTCGTAATGTGTGAGAACATGATTTTTGATTTTAATGATGTATTAGTAAATGCTGGAATTAATATTAACTACGATTAATAAATGCTAGTATTGTTAGTTAATGTTAATCCATATTATAAAGTGTGACCAATGTGTGTGTGTGTATATATATATATATATATATATATATATAAATATACACACATAATATTATAATATTTTAATCAAGCATCCTGCTGACCTGAGAGACTGTCATTTGAAGCATCATTTTCATCCTCGTCCTCCATTAACAAGTCATCAGAGTCTTTGCTGTCGGGGAGCTCAGACTCCGCCCCCCTGAAGTGCTCCACCAATGACGGTCTCTCTCTCTTCAGCATCCTCCGCCCTGTTTGACAGCGCTTCCCTCGGGCTGCTCTGGGAGTCAGACCAGGCGAGGTGGAGGTGCGACCCGTGCTGGTGAGGTTGATGGGAGTGTTAAATGCGGGGCTGGTGGCGGCCAGCAGTGGTTTATCAGGGGCGCGTGTGCTCTGGGAGCGAGGTTTGGTGATGAGGGCCAGAGGAGCGTCCTGCACCGCGCCGGGATGGTGGTTCTCAGTAGGAAGTGAGGGGAGGAACGGATTGTTAAATGGATGTTTCTGGCTGCTCTGTGATTCCTGTGCACCTCTCAGCGGTGGAGGAAAGGCCTGAGGTAGTGATGACTGACGGGACAGAGAGATGCAATTACTTCATCTGTCATTTACTGCGATTCATTGAAATGAATGCTGCCTCTTCTTATGAACATATATTGAAACACATATGTGACCCTGGAGCACAAAAGCAGTCTCAAGTCGCTGGGGTATATTTGTAGCAATAGCCAAAAATACGGGTCAAATGGGTCAAAATTATAGATTTTTCTTTTATGCCAAAAAACATTAGGATATTAAGTAAAGACCATGTTCCATGAAGATATTTAGTAAATTTCCTACCGTAAATATATTAAAACTTAATTTTTGATTAGTAATATGCATTGCTAAAGACTTCATTTGGACAACTTTAAAGATTATTATATTTTGATTTTTTTGCACCCTCAGATTCCAGATTTTCAAATAGTTGTATCTCGGCCAAATATTGTCCTATCATAACAAACCATACATCAATGGAAAGCTTATTTATATTGAGATGTATTTAATGTATAAATGTCAATTTTGAAAAACTGACACTTAAGACTGGTTTTGTGTTCCAGGGTCACACATGCAACTAATATATTCAAAACAGAATTTGAAATGTATTTTTTTATTATAATGCAGAAGATTGTTATGAATTATTATTATGAAAACAGTCAAGCTGAGAACTGAATTATGCACGATATACACTACAAATCAAAAGTGGTGTTGGTGAGACTCTTCTGCTCAGCGAGGCTGCATTTACTTGATCAAAAATACAGTAAAAACAGTAATATTGTGAAATATTATCACAATTTAAAATAAGTGTTCTTTATTGGAATATATTTTAAAGTGTAATTTATTCCTGTGATCAAATTTGAATTTTCAGCATCATTACTCCAGTCTTCAGTGTCACATGATCCTTCAGAAATCATTCTAATATGCTGATTTGCTGCTCACTTATTATTATTATTATTGGTGCTCAATTATTAATTATGGTTCTTATTAGTATCTATGTTGAAAACGTATATATTGCTGCTTAATATTTTTTGGAAACCGTGATACATTTTTTTCATGATTCTTTGAGTTCAAAAGCAGCAGCCAGTGGCGTAACTACAGACAGTGCAGGCAGTGCAGCCGCACTGGGGCCCGTGCCGCGGGGGGGCCCCGCAGCGCACGCGGGCCCTGCCCACATTGCAAGCGACTATATTAATATAAATGAACAATAAACGTATTAATAATAAAATACAATTAGTACCGAGATTCTTCACAGAACGTAATAAATATATAAATTTGCGTTAATTGTGTGTGTGTCCTTCACTGGTCTAGTGGTAGAACTTTTGTCAAGCATTTCACCGTGCACCAGGGGGCCCGTCATAATAGCCTGCACTGGGGCCCGTCATTACTAAGTTACGCCACTGGCAGCAGCACAACTGTTTTCAACGCTGAGGACTGGAGTAATGATGCTGAAAATTCAGCTTGGCATCACAGGAAAAAATTACATTACAATATGTTCACATAGAAAACAGTTATTTTAAATGTAATCATATTTCCAAATTTTTACTGTATTTTTGGTCAAATAAATGCAGCCTTGGCGAGCAGAAAATTCTTCTTTCAAAAACATTTTACAAATCTTATTGACTCCAAACATTTGGACTGTAGTTTAGTTTCGGAAACTAACATCTTCCCCTACATTGATCAGCAAATATCATCTGCACATGCTTTTATCTCGTTGTGTTTCAGAGAAGGTCACCTGTCTGAGTTTGCTGACGTTGTCGAGGTAATTCTTGCACGTCTTCAGAGGAGCAGATCTGGAGGAGGGCAGTGTGGGAGAGGAAGACAGAGACAGAGGTGGTTTTGGAGAGGGCAGGGGAAGGTCTTTAGGGGACGGTGCATCTCTGTCCCTGCGCCGCTGCGTGACTAGTGCAAGCGGTTTTGCGCTGGCTGCTAGACCTGTGGTCTGGATGACACTGGTGTGTTTGCCGGGCTCCTCTGTGGAGCTCAAGGCCTGGATGTGCAATGGCGGCTGAGACAAAAGCAAACCCCGGACGTCCAGCTTATCCTGCCCTACAGTGTTCCGGGTCTTCTTCCTGTCTATGTGCATTTCCTCCTGAATAAGCAGAATGACAACTTATTGCTAACATAAAATAAATGGTGAAACAGTTGTTTATTTTTTTATTTTATTTAAATGTTGCATTATTTTTCATGTTTATTATTATTTAATATTACTGTTTATTATTATTATTATTATTATTGTTTATTTTAATATTTTAATAATAATAATATTAATGATAATAATAATAATAATAATATATTTTACAATAGCATTTTTTTCATAATAGTTCAAATATTTTTTAATGCTGTCCACCAAATCAAAGGCTTCGTTCAGAATAACATACTATCATTTTTTTTTTTATATAAATTGTTTAAATGGTATAAAATTGTATAAATGGTTTACAAAATATGAACCTATATACAGAGATTACATTTTGGCGCTTATGTTGTAAACTAGATTTTAAAAAGATATATTTATTTCATAATATTTTTCATCTGTTATTTTAGTATTACTTGTACTATTACAATATTTACAATATATATACACTATTATAATATTTATTAATATTTTGAATTAGCTTTTTTATATTTTCAGTTTTAATATTTTTAATAATTTGATTTATTATGCATTTATTATATTATTATGCTTTTGCCACTTTTATTATTATTTTTTATATATATATTTACATTTATTGGTAACACTTTACAATAAGGTCCCATTAGTTAACTTCAGTTATTACACAGATCTGTGGAATACTTGATTCTGATTGGTCAGTCGCGACATTCCGAGGTATGTTATCCCTTGATAACAACCGGTAAAAACTAATAACACAGGCTCATCCGGGTAACTGTAGTCCCTGCTATACTCTTACTAGGAACAGTTTTTCTTCGTGGAAGCTTTGCGTTTGGTTAGCTACTAAAATATTAAAACTCGATTCAATATTATGTGTACAATTATTTAATTATGTCATCCTGGTATCGCGGACTCGCTCTCTCGCTGTAATGGATTATAAGACAACGAACAAACTGGTAATATTTTAAAACATTTTTGTCTTAAATCTTTTATCACCATAATTATTTATGTGGTGAAATGTTGTGTAATGAGTGGTATGACTGCACCGTATCCCTTAAATGTCCATCTAGTTTGAACTTGCCGCATGCTCGCAACTGTTGTTCACCGAAGCTTAGCGTTCAAATATTTAAACTCAAATCAATATTTCGTGTCTAATTATTTACTTCCCCCTGTCGGGGGTTATTCTGCGATAACAACCGGCTGGATGTACATTATTCCTAACTTAATGCAATAACAAAAACACAACTGTTTATTGTTAGTTCATAATGTATTAGCTCAGATCCATTTAAAAATATTAAAGGATACAACTTTTGATTTTTAGTAATGCATTCATTATTGTTGAAATTAACATTAATGAAAAAAGTATTTTTCATTATTAGTTCATGTTAGTAAATATATTAAACTAGTGTTAACAAATGGAGCTTTATTGTAAAGTGTTTGACATTTTTTTATTTCAGTTTTAGTCATTTTAGCATTTCAACTTATTTTATTTCAGTTAGCAGCCAAAGCAACATTTTTAATTTGTCTAATATTTACATTTGATTTAATTCAGCTTTATTTTAATGAATGAAAAAACAATTCATAGTTTTAGTTAACAACAGCAACACATACCTTTCGGATACCTTTCGGATCTTTTCCGCACTTTTCCGAGTCGACACTATCATCACTCTGATCATCATCATCATCATCGTCGTCGTCATCATCTTCCAGGTCGTCTGAGTCAGAGCTGCTAAGAGCATCACTCGAGCTGTCAGAGCTGGATGCTGATTGGCTGTCGCTGTTGATGGAGACATCTGGCACTTTGCTGCACAGCTTCTGTCAGGAAGAGCAGAGCAATGTCAGTCGACAGGAGCGGCCACACACACACATTTTCTTTGTTTACACAAACAACCCCCTTCTGCCACCCATCCAGCTGACATGCCAGACTAAAATAGTCCCCAAAAAAGGTGGAGGATATGTTTTGACAGAAAGTGTCAACAGCAGCATTTATAACACATAGCTATGTGAGAGCTGCATATATGGAAATTATTAAATGCTCTTTATGATGCTTCGCTTACTTACAATACACAAGTCAACTAATTAGCTGATGCACATTCGAGTTCCACTAGAAAATTTAACAACATTCGGACGACATGAGGGTGAGTAAATAAATGTCACGATTAATGAAATTTAAAAGACCAAGAGTCTTCACCTCGTCTTTTGTTTTGTATCTAGTTTTCTCCTCTAGCTGGTTTAGTGCTGGTTTTGGGCTGGTTTTCAGGCTCTTGGTTTGATCTGGAGGGATGAGGACTGGAGAGGGTGTGGAGGAGGCCGAGCTTGATTTCGTCGCCATTCCATTGACTGAGCCATTCAGCCCTGCTTCAGAAAATATCATGCATGAAACATGAACACATCTTCAGTTACAGCATGACTCTGTACTATAAACTTGAATAAACTGAAAATGAACGAGCAATTCATTGTTTTATTTATATGGCAAACTCAAATTTAGGATAATTTTCCAAATTGGAAATGTCATCTAAAAAAAGAATGCGAGATGCCTGTGAAATCAGTGAGGATTATTTTCATCACAAGTACAGTAGAGGTGTAAATAGATGCCATTTATATGTAACAGACAAAATAAAATCTCAAATGTTTTTATTAACATGTGGAAGTGACAGTGTATGGGAAACAAGGTAAACATCAGCAGGCTGTTCCAGTCCTGAGGCTAGACAGAGTTTCACAGTCTGCAGACTTCATAGATTTTATTAGAAGTAAAAGTAAGTAAATTAATATAAATAATTAGAAATATATATATATATACATAAAAAAAATATGTATACATATATTATATGAATATGTATAAATTATCTGTCAAAAGTTTGGAAACATAATTTTTTTAAATGTTTTTAATGAAGTCTCATGCATTTATGTGTTCCAAAATACAGTAAAAATATTAGTATTGTGAAATATTATTGCAATTTAAAATAACGTTTTATTGTAATGCATTTTAAAATGTCATTTATTCCTGTGATGCAAAGCTGAATTTTCAGCATCATTCCTCCAGTCTTCAGTGTCACATGATCCTTCAGAAATTATTATTGCTGCGCAGTTATTAATAATGGCTCTTATTATTATCAATGTTAAAAACGTTAAAAATGTTAAAATTTATATATAAACAATTTTATATTAATATTCATAATATTTAAAATTATAATGAACTTTTTAAAAATCCAGATACATTAAAGGCAGCACAACAAATACTCCCATGAAATTTAAAAGTTATTAAAATATGTCACTTTATAGGAATGAGAATGATATCTTTTTTGCATTACAGTAACAAGAATTTGGGGGTAAAATGTGCTTAATTTTCAGGAAAAAATCATGCATAATGACTTCATTGATTTTATTAGAATTAAAGCAAAGTAAATTCAGCATGGTGAGATTGCTTTCCCCCCCACCAGAATATGTCTGAATAAAAATTGTAGAATTACCACAATACACCTGTCAACACCTGAAATAGCTGAAGAGAAGTGTTCTGCTGTATTTCAGTTGAATAATTATTATTATTAAATAATTAATAATAATTACTATTAACATATCTGTTAAATCACAGTTTTTACTTTATTTTTATAGATACTTGTCTGTGAAATATGAGTATTTTTATGATCGATATTGAATTATTATTGGACATCATCTTTTCTAATAAAACCTAGAACCAACAGGCTTCTTTCCCCAGGCAGTCAAATGTTTAAATGCATAAACCCCTTCATCCCTTGGACTCGTGCAATAAACCTCCTACTTGAGTAAGAAGTGCAATAATCGCTCCCCCACTATATTACGATTTCACTTATTTGTTTACCACACTGTGTTCATATCCTATTCTTGTTTTGTATTTATGTCTTTGCTTGTCTATATTGCCCATTTGTTTGTATATGCTTATAGTTTGTATTTTTTCTAATATATGTTTGTTCTTGTCGTTCACATTTGTTTATACTGCTAATTCTGAAGAGCCGCTAAACGGTTTTTCATTGTTCCTTAAAAAAAATGACAATAAAGAATCTATTCTATTCTATTAATATTGTGAATTTTAGAAGGATAAGAGCAATGCTTCCTTAGTATTTGGGTAATATTATATTCATATTGCCTATATTATGGATCAGTCTTCATGTTTTGAGCACATAGATACTGTATCTAAACATGCCTTCTAGGTAGGCAAACTTTAGGAATAAAAATACACACACAGCATATGAGAGGTAATTTACACACCTTTCACAGGAGTGCGTCTGGCAGCATGAGACTGAAGCATGGTTTGCTCCTGGTTCAGGAACGGTGCGCTGAATAATGCCGGCAGACCCAGAAGATGAGGAAAAAAGGCCACTGACCCTCGACCCTGAGCGTCTGCAGAACGCCACCAATCTGAGGAAACAGATCAAGTTTACCCAGAAATGAAAATCTGTTATCACTTAAATCACCCTCATGTCGTTCTAATCCTGTTTGAGTTTCTTTCATCTTTTAAGAACAAAGGAAGATATTTTGAAGAATGTGGGAAACCAAACAGTTGACGGTAGCCATTGACTTTCATAGTATGAAAAAAATACGATGGAAGTCAATGGCTACCGTCAACAAAATATCTTATTTTGTGTTCAGCAGAAAAAAACGAACTCATACAGGTTTGAAACAACTTGAGGGTGAGTAAATGATGACAGAATTTTCATCTTAAGATTTCCTAGGATGAGAGTCTCATTCTTCAAATCTCTCAAACTGGATAGAGTCTCAAATTATCTTCAGATTTCTGACTTTTTTAACTTTCAGGCTAGGATTTGTCCAGTCAAGTCTTGACAAACTTTCCTTTTTTCGTTTCATCTGTTGTTACAGCTGTAGTTAATTAAAGACTTTTCTTAGGTGCAAAATGACTCCAAATTATAACAAAACATTTTATTAATCAAACATTTTATTAATCAAAACATTTCATTAATTTTATTAATCACTCACAACAATCATAAATTGTTGTGAGTATTATACTGAAGATAAATTTAATAGAAATGTGAATATGGAGGGGGCATTATCAGTAATACATTTAAATAGTAGAAGTCTTTATAACAATTTCATACATATTAAGGATTATTTGCGTCAGTTTAATACATTTAATGTGATTGCTATGTCAGAGACTTGGCTTGATAAGGAGAAAGTACATGAGGTAGAATTGGAAGGGTATAATTTGTTTACGGTAAACAGAGTAAATAAGAAAGGAGGAGGAGTTGCGTTATATGTTGACACAGCGCTAAGATGCAATCTGATTAAAAGTATGTCAGTAACTATAGAAAATATTTTGGAATGTGTAACTATAGAAATCGATATTGAAAGATCTAAAAATATGATTATCAGTTGTGTGTATAGATCACCAGGAACTTGTACGGATACCTTTATGAATAATTTATTTGGTATGCTTGATAAATGGAATGAGAACAAGGTACAAATTATATGTGGAGATTTCAATATTGATTTGTTGAATCCAAATGGAATAAGAGGATAACAGATTTTACTGACACTCTGTATAGTAAAGGTTTATTTCCTGTGATTACAAAACCTAGTAGAATAACTAAAGATACTGCTACATTAATAGACAATATATATACAAACGAAATTGAAGGGAAAATAGTAGGAGGGTTATTTAAAAATGATATGACTGACCATCTTCCAGTTTTTGCAATCTTTCAAAGACTATTTGAAAAAACAAAAGGAAATAGGATAAATAGCTTTAAAACAATTCGACATAGAACACCAGAAGTCATTGCTGCTCTCAGTGAGGACTTAAAGAATCAAAATTGGAGTGAGGTTTATGTAAGTAAAGATCCTAATAGTGCTTATGATGCTTTTTTGTCCATATTAATTGAAAAATATGAAAAACATTGTTTGTCTAAGAGGACTGTAAAAAAGCAAAAAAACGAGGATAAACCATGGATTACTAAGGGAATAGAGAAAGCATGCAAAAAGAAAAATGCATTATACAGGAAATTTATAGTAACTAGAACTAAACAAGTGGAAAATAAATATAAGATATATAAAAATAAATTAATAAGCATTATAAGATTGAGTAAAAAGGACTATTATAATAAGTTATTGGACAAGCATAAGAATAACATACAAACAACATGGAAAGTACTTAATAGTATAATTAAAAAGAATACTGTTATTGTGTGGAGGTGTGGGGTCATACTTATAAAACCTATATAAATTCAATATATATGTTACAAAAGAAAGCAATTAGGATTGTTAAAAGGGTTGATTATTACGAACCAACAAACAAATTGTTTATTCATTTACATGCTTTAAAATTTGTAGATTTAGTTGATTTATGTACATCACAGATAATGTTCAAAGTTTATAATAATTTACTTCCAAATTGTATTCAGAGGCTGTTCAAAATAAGAGAAAGTCAGTATAATCTAAGAGGATTGTATATGTTTAAAAAAGTTAGGGCAAGAACTAATGCAAAAAGTAGGTGTTTATCTGTTAAAGGGGTAAATCTATGGAATAATTGTGATAAGGAATTAAAATTATGTAATTCACTCTGCAAATTCAAGAAAATGTATAAAAATAAGGTGTTAAATAATTATATGACTCAGTATCAATAATTGTGAATGTATTGTTACAATATTGAAGTAATAGTTGTAATGTGTATTTTTGTTATGTTGTTTCGAATTATGTATGTACATTTGGGGTAATGTTTATGTAACATGTTTATCTTGTATTTCTTAGTGAAAAGTGTCGCTCATCAGTTAATTATGTATAAAGGGTAGGCATAATAAGCAAGGCTTCAGCCTACACCTTTTTCGGTAATTATGTTTATTTATTTATTTATTTATTTTGTGAAAAGTTGTCTGTGAGGACCGAAATAAAATTATTGATTGATTGAAGTCAAATTTATTTATATAGTGCTTTTCACTATACACATTATTTCAGAGCAGCTTTACAGAATAATCCAGATGTTATTGTTACATCTTAATATCTTCATGCCTTTTATCATCCAGATCTAATCTGCTAAATGTTTACATTTTGATAGAAGCAATCAAGCAGTTGAGATTTGATATATATATATATATATATGTATATATTTCTTTATGTGAGTGTACTTTATGTAAATAAAGCTAGAAAAAAATATAATGTATACAACTAAATATAGAGAGCTATGCTAAAAAAGTAATTTTAAAGCATATTTACATGCAAAATAGAGAGACATGCAAAATACCACACAATGTTAAAGCCAAAAAGTGCTGTAACACAAGACACGTAAGCACTTCACCTTTGCTTGAAGTATCCTTAAACGGCACAAAAAACTCTTTAATTTATCCTCAACTGTGCCATAACCACAACCAAAGTAGCTCATAAATCCTCAGGGAGCAAACAAATCTGTCCAAACAGTCAGTGAGTGATGCTAAATGATCCAGAGCTAGAGAAAATCCAGCTTTTGATTACAGGCGTCTGCTTTCACAGCAGCTCTTCAGATCTCCTAACAGCAGCGCTTTACTCCATCCACTCTCATTTCAGCTATTCATTAGAAACATGCTGAAGATGGTAAATCTAAAACAGACATCACACGCCATTTCCTGCTCACACATGGCTTACAGATCCGGCTGAAAACACTCGGTTCTGTAAACATCCACTTTATGACAAATAGCAAAGCATGTCCTACATCGCACGAATACAAGAAACAACCTTAAAAGCATCACTTTAGGTCGATTTGACCGTTTCGGAGTCTGATTGTCCTTCAGAACGAGGGCTGAGATTTGCACAATCCTGTTCTCTTTTACAGCAACAATCTTGTTCAGAAAAGAAACACTGCGTGTCATGAAGTGTTTAAGTCTGTGAGGAGCTGAAGTCACTGCAGGAGGTTAAAGCAAAGCTCTGACCCGGAGCATTCAGGTCTTTGTAAATGTCATGGGCTCAGCGTGGACCGCCCGACTGATGGAAAGCACAATAAAAGGTGAAACATGTGCCCATATGCCCACAAAAACATGTCCAGGTCACATTCCAACCCCCTTACCAAAAAACGAAATAAAGATTGCATTGTGATTTTATTTTTAAGCATGCTTTCCCTGCAATTTTACTTTACCTTAATGCATCCAGATGTTTCACTGCAGAGTTATTTTACAACTGCCAATATTCTCAGTGGTGATTCTCATTACTGACAATTAATACATACAATTATATATTTATATAAAATATTATAAATATTATATACAGAGAGAAAGAGCAAGAGAGAAAGAGAGATTTTTATATAATGCATATATATATATAATATTTATAAATATAACACATTACATTATATACATATAAAAATCTATACAATTATATTAATAGTAATTTTATATATATATACATACATATACACACACACACACACACACAAAATATCTGTCATATATTTTATAATTGTGTTTTGTATCTATATGAATTTCAATTATACAATTAACATTTTTATTTAAATCAGGGTATACAACAAATAAAATGTTAAAAGTTATTTAAAAGTAACTTTATAGTAATGACAATAAGATTTTTTTTATTTTTATTTGGGGTGTGTGTGGAATTTTCAGGAAAAATAATGCAGAAAACAATCTCGAAACATTTTCTTGCAATTATTTAAAACTTCAAGCAATTTTCTTTACAGGTTTTGTGAGACCACTATTAAAACTACTTTTTAATGACATCTTCTGCTCAACATACCTGGTACAGCTCCGAGCTGAGAGCGGGCAGCCAGAGCGGCCGACATTCCCAGAGTTCCCAGACCTCCGAACTCAGAGCGGACAGGAGAAGAGGAGTGCAGACTGAAGACTGGGTGATGGATCATGGGAAAGGCACCGGAAACTGAAGCAATTCCCAAACCCTGATTTCCAACCATTTGGAACAAATGACCTGAGAGAGAAAAATAAAAAAACATCACCAACTCATGCATGTGTAGCAGTCTGATACAAAGCCTGTCAGAGAAATCAGACTATTTGGACTTTAGAAAGGAATAGGTGTAGATTTAATTTATTACAATGCATTTAAGAAGAGGTTGTTTACAGATATAGCAAAGGGAAAGAAAACCTTATTGTGATTTTTCTGGATAAAATGTGATTTAAAAAAACTGTAAAATGCGATTAAAAATTCCAGGTTTGCTGTGATTGCTTGTAGTCCTGCATAATTGGCCAAAATTTAGTGATTATATATCAATATGGCTAAATATTAATAATAATAATAGTAATAAAAATCATTATTATAAAATAATACTAACACTAATAATAATTATTAGTATTAGCATTAAAATACTTAATAATAATATCATCATTATTTTAAAATCATTATTATAATTATTATAATATAATAATGATTACTATTATTATTAATATTATAACTTAAATATGAAAATATTAGTATTGTTATTATTATATTTAATAACTAATATTTAATACATAATGTATACCATTTAATATTAGATAACATTGACTATTTTAATAATAATTATTATTATTAAATACAATATAAATAATAAATATTCCTCAGTTTAGTAATATTGTGCTGGTCACATGTAAATGAACACAGGACTGTGCTTTACTTTGAAACACTCAGCACATATTTTTATTTAAGTAATTTTCAGCATTTGTGATTTGATAATTGCACCAACCCATATCAGTTTTGGCTTTACTTTAATTAATCGTAAAGCCCTACTATGCATGATTTGCATGAAATGCACAGCTACATTTTTAAAATATAACCCATGACATTGTCGATCAACGTCACTGTATTTCAGTAATGTACATCGCTTCAATAAACCACATGCATAAATTAAAATCCATACATTTACCAAAACATTTCACTACATTCATACATTCACTAAACCAATGAATTCCCCTTTTTCTTGGTTGCTCAAGTGGGCTGAAGGCTTTTCTTTTCCCTGAAGTCATTTACTGCTAAAACTCCTGAGGGATTCGCACAAAAGCTGGACACAGACAAAAAGAGCCTCGCTCCCCGAGCTGCTGTGAAGGCTGTTTACAGGCATCTTTGCTTTGAATCTCATTCTAATGAGCTGCATATTTAGCGTCAGCTCCTTTGAAGCCCGTCCTGTCGATACAGGACGAGACGGTGAAAATAAATCCATCCCCTCCCGCTGGCCCTCCTCATCTGCACTGCAAGAGGCAATGACATCCGCAAATAGCCTTTAAATATTAATGCACTCAGAAATGAACATTTTGCAATAATTTATTTCACCAAATGTCGTTCCAAGCCTGTATTATTTTCTTGTTAAAGAAAATAGGTTTAAGTTCATTAATATGAACTGCACAAGTGTAACTTATTATTTTGTCAAGCTCCTGAGGTTTTTCTCAATGATTTATGAAACATTTTATCTGAAGTACTGATTTTACCCATCAGGTTAAAATGAAAAACACTAAAAATGAGGTGGGGTGTTTTTAATAACCTCAGGAGTTTTGTACTTGAACAAAAAGCACATGAGAAGTGACTGTTAGTAAATGAATATTTTATATATTAATGCATTATATATTACTTTGTTGCAAATTTAAATTAAAAATTATAAATGAACCAAATCACATTTTAATATATTATTTTTATAATAAATTACACACACATTTGCAAATGTTGTGATGATTCATCAGTGGAAGAGATTTTTAAACTTTCTCAGAAATCTTGAATTTCTTACATTTTAACTGTAACAATATACATTTAAAAAATATAATCTTTGCAAGACTGACAATCTGAACTGTTTATGTTAAACGGCTCACGCTGAATTTATTTATCTCTGTAATATGTGTATTTATTTAAAAATATTATTAAAAATATTATTTATTAATATTAAATAACATTATTTTTTATTATTAAAAAAAACTAACACTTGCTTCTCTAATCTTTTTGCATTCTATATATTTGTTTTCTTTTTATTTATTATACAATTCTGTTAAATTAAATTAAATTTTAATTTAATTAAAACAATAAATAATTCTGACTTTCTGACTTCTGATCAACAAAAGCAAAAAAGGCCTCTAACACTAGCTTGCTCTGTTATTTTTCTATTCTATCGGTTTTCTTTTCATTATTTATATAATAAAAAAAAACCTTGCTACGTGTACTGCATTAAGCTAACTGAGACTTGTTATAGCACTTTCATATCATTGCTCTTTTATTGATTTTGAAAGCGTCTGCTAAATGTCTAAATGTAAATATTTAAATAAGTCATGTATAAATATTTCAACATTTTAAATGTTATTTAAATGTAACTTTATAGTAATGAAAATAAGATTTTTTATTTCATTACAGTAACAAAAATCTGGGGATAAAATGTGATTATTTTCAGTAAAAATAATGAAAAAAAAAAAAAATCTTGAAACATTTTCTTGCAATTCTTAAAAATGTCAAGCAATTTTCATATTAAATATGACCAGAGAAAAATATAAACTTTAAAAATATAAAGTAAAAAATTCAAGTCTGAATTGTTTATGATAAGTAGCTCAGGCTGAATTTATTTACCTCTGTAGTATGAGTGACATTTACCAACGTGAACATAATAATCCACACACATACACACCTGACTTTTGCTTTGAATTCATTACTCTGGTCAAAACAGGTTATCTGAGGTAACATATCTTTGTGTATGATTGTTTCTGTGCGTGTAAAAAGATCAATTCAAATACATTATTCAACAGTGAGAGAGAAAAGCTCTAGTCATTGCATGTAAAAAAACGATGGATTCACTCTGGGCATTTCTTATCATGAGAGAGAATAAAGAAGCAAGGAGACGGCAAAAACAAGCACAAAATCGCAATTTATAAATTTGCATATTATTTTGTGGTCAGGCTACTCTGACAGCATCTGCATCAACAGCAGACTATCACTCGGAGGAATCCTGTACAATGTGTTTAGAAAAAGGACAAACTGTCTCTGATCATTTCACACAGGCTAAACGAGACCAAGAAGTCTCATGTTGGTGTTTATTAATAAAGTGGCTCTTCATACAAAATTTATAAGAAATCCTTTTTTTTTTTTTTTCCCAAATTCCTTTATATTTTTTCCCAGCTTAATTTTTTCCATTAAAATTTTCTGAATTTGGTTTTAATGGTTAAATAAAATTTTTATGTTAATCAAAAAGCATATCTAATTAACTGAAAACATGTATACAAATTAACAACAATTTGTTAAAAGATTGACTAAAATGACATTTTATGGCCTTATGAAACCGGTTTTATTTTTTCCCAAATTCTGTTTTATTCCATTTTAATTTTCACATTAATTAATAATAATAATAAAAAAAAAAATTATACACACACACACACACTCCAGAACTTCTGTTTTGTCTGCTTTAATTTTTCTGGATTTATAATGCAATACATATTAAATATTGGTGATAATCAAATAAAGGCAAAAAACATTAATGATTTAATAAATATTTTAATACAATGCAATCAAATACATATTTAAAAAAATATATTTTTGGCAAACAAAGTGTTGCTGTAAAATTGTGAGACACTTTAAAAAATTGTTTAGTTTTAATAATTTTATTATTATTATTATTTGAAAAGTACATTCCACTGTACAATATCAATGTATTTCAGTCACAATGTATTTTTTCAAGTTAAACTGAACTTTCTGAACTTATTCTATTTGCTAAATTTGCCAGATTCCATGATATTCCACATTATACCATAAATTCAATTTTTATGCCTGGATTTGGTGATTGTGTGTTTTCTTACCGATCTTGCTGTGTGTTGTTGTCAGTGAGGTTTCCGGGTGTGCTGCAGCTCTTATAGAGGTCTGAGCGGAGGTCGGGGTCACCAGCCTCTCCGCTGACTCCATATCTGACAAACAACATCAGCAACAATCAACACAATCAACACAATCACACAAACACGAACACTAATCATTAAACGCCATCAGAGAGAAAATAAAGCATCTGTGATGTGATTCTTCGAGCTGTGGTGTCAATGTCCATGCAAACTCTGAATGAAGCAAGTCTCGTATGAATGTGGCAAACAGCATTCTTCCATCTTAGAAACATTGCCGAGCTACGAAACATGTTACCTGTTTCTGATGCAGAAAAGCTAGTTCATGCATTTATGACCTCTAGACTGGACTATTGTAATGCACTGCTAGCTGGTTGTCCTGCATCTTCAATAAACAAGCTACAGGTA